AAAGTAGAGGGAGAAAGCACGCTGAGAGTTCTGTGGGAAATATTCTGATTAAAAAGGGAATTGTAAAGTGAGCTGAAACTACAGTAGCTAGTTACACAAAACCAAGGAAGTTAAAGAGAGTGGGGAGCACAGACTGAGGAGGACAGATGATATTAAAGCAGAAAGGAGACATTCACTTTGTGAGGAAGTCACAGAAAAGACAGATGGATAATGACTGCAAAGATAACAGGCAGGCACAGTGGCAAAGCAGTAAAAATTACGATCCTAGCAAATTGTCAAAGACCTGTGCTAGCTGAGGAGAACTTATTCTGTCTGATCAGCACTTTATTTTGTGACTATATTTTAATTTGTGACTATTTTTACTTAAACAACAGCAAAAAGGCAAAGTTTTCAGAAAAGGGGTTGTTTTGGATGAAACCAATAACGGTTGGTTGGTTGGAGTGTAACATTAAGGTGACAAATCCAATAAGGTGCACTTTCAGGTCCAGCTGATATTCAGAGTGGTTTCTATCAGGTTTTTTCTGGAGCTCCTCCCGAGCATCTGTCCAAGAAAGAAAGGGCTGAATTTTATGCAGAGTGAGACAGGGAAGGGGAGGGTGTGTTGTTGGACAGTAGCAGGGCCCTGGAGAGTACCATAGTCATTTCGTGACAGCCATCCCATAATTGTCTTGAGATGATCTCCTACCTCTGAGAGCTGCCAGCCAATCAAACAGGTGGCAGCTCTCTGGTTTCCAACAGCACCACCGATAGTGGTGGCCGATGCTGGGACTGCGACCATTTCCAGAGAGAGGCCTGAAGCAATGAATCTGCACTTTGTTTGTCTAAAGTCTCACTGCGGCCAGGTTGCCAAGCTCCTGAGATGGAGGCGGGAGTGCAGAAAAATCACAGGGGTGGTCAGAACTTGGAGAGGGGCTTTCCATGGGAGCAGGGATCCACAAACGAGGCACCCCCACCACTTTGCCATCGAATCAGGCCTGGCGGCTGAACACATGGAGCTGCCCTTCTCCCAGTGCCAAGAGCAAAATCCCAGCAGCATAAAGGAAACTTTCCCATGCTACCCTTACCATGTGTGGTGGGTAAGTAGGCACTGGCAACAGCATCCATGGCACGGTACCCAAATGTACACCCCTTCCGCACTGCCCAACTCTGCCAGAAGCGTTAATTTGGTTGGGGGACACTCATTCAACTCAGAAAATCAAGAGCTGTAAGCACCATCGCAACATGCAAGAACAAGGGCAGCTGGCTGGGTGGGTTAAATATCCTTAGTCTGTAGCTAACAATCCAATTCTGTACAATCTCTTGCTCCTAGATTTATTATATAACGGGGTCACATTTCAGCATCAAATGACTATCTGAGTTCCATAGTTTTGATCTTCATTGTTCACCAAATTCAGGAAATGTACAGGGCTCAAAATAAAGACAAATATGTTGTATATTCTGTAGCAATTAGAACACGGGCCATTTTTAAAGGGTTAACAGGATGTTTGGTTGTCCAGGGAAGTTGTTGGTTATCACTAATTTTCCAAACAATAGGAGTTTACTTTAACCATGGCAGGGGCACAGAGCGTATACTGTATAAGCCATTAAAGGTGGCAGCAGCGGTAGAGAGGTATTTAATGAAGAATACGGTATTCTAGGTGTCATTAATAGAGGCATAAAGAACTGGAGCACAGAGGCTATGCTGAACTTGTATAGGACACTCATTGAACCTCAGCTGGAGTACTGTGTACAGTTCTAGATGTTATAGACTCTAGGAAGGACGTGACTACATTGGAGGGAGCAGATGAAGTGTCTGAAAATGGTTCCAGCAATGAGACAGTTCAGTTATAAAGGCAGATTAGAAGAGTTAGGATTGTTTTCCCTGGAAAGAAGAATGTTAAGTGGAGGTTTGATATAAGTTTTCAAAAATCATACGGGGTCTGCACAGATCGGATCAGGAGAAACTGTTGCCACTTGTAAACTAATTGAGAGCCAGCTTTAAAGGCGTTTTGCAAAGAAGCAAGTGCAGAATAAGAAAAAAAAATCACTCAGTGAAAAGTTAATGCACTGAATGGAAGGGTGGTAGAGGCAGGTTCAACTGAGGCATTCATGAACGCTTTGGATGTCTATTTGGATAGAAATAGTGTGCAGGATATTGGGGAAAGGACAGCTGAACTGCACCAAGTTAAAATGCTCAGAGAGCCTGTGCAGACACAATGTGCTGAATGGCTTCCTTCTGCACTGTAACAATCCTGTGATTCGGAGTGGGCTGATGGTAAAATTGCTCCACAATGTGATGCTTGGCCGAGGGTTTATTGAATGGTGCAAAACGAGGATGTGTACAGAGTCCTACTCTTTCACATCAGCATGCTGGATTGGTACCTAGAGATCTTTATATAAGAACTGCGATACGAATTTCCTCTGCTGGGTAACCGTTTGATCTATCACAATCATAAACATTAACGAAGCTCTCCAAAGAAATTACACAAGAACTTTTGTGTTCTCATGAATACACGCCTGTTTGCTTATTGGAACAGGAGGAGCATTATGGTCAGCTGATCAAGAATAAATTCACAGCTACTGGCTTCCAATTAGTTCAGGAAGAAGGCTGCAGTAATGTATAGAAAAGTTCCTGGGAAGTCACATTGATCATCACGAGCCAAATTATACTGAATCAAGTGAAAGGGTTCAGGTTCATGTGCTGTGTGCTCATTCAAGGATTGATGGAAAATTGATGCCTGGAATAAGGATCAAATGTGGCTGTCCAAGTGGGTATTGTCACTAAAATGAAGGTTTACAAGGGTAGTTGTCCTTTGTTTGTAATCCTCACATGAACACTCTACATAATACAAGAGAGACAGTGGTGTAACTGAAGTTACTGGAACTAGGAACCCAGAGACTTAGGGATATGGGTTTAATCTCACCATTGCAGCTGGTGGGATTTAAATTCATCGGTAAATTAATTAATTAACTAATCTTGAATTGAAAGCCAATCTTGCCGATGTGAGATTATTATAAAAAACCTATTTTCTCCACAAATGCCCTCCAGGGAAGGAAATCTGCCTCCGTCACCTGGTCTGGCTTCCACGTGACTCCAGTCCCACATTATTTTGGTTGGTCCTTCCCCGTCCTCTGAAATTGCCTAGCAAACCATTCAGTTGAAAGGCAGTAGGGACAGACAATAAATGCTGACTTTGCCCACTTCCCCTAAAACAGTAAAGAAGTAACTCCACAGGAGGTCTACTCCACAAACAGAATGGTGTCACCTTAGGCCAAAGCCAACTTGGCAACTTACTTCATATAAGGTAACACCGCAAGATTACCAACACAATCTGGAACTAATGGAATGTGGAAACAGCACCAGAATTCTAGCAAGAAGACTCTGAATATTCACGTGAAACAGCTCAATATGGTCGTTAGGGTGCAAGACAGAGAGAAGGGCTTTGAGCTACCATACAAGGCTACTGTGGAGGCAAGACTCAAGAAATAGAAGGATTGGAAACTTCAGACGTTTAGACAAGAAATCCCCCAGGAATGTGGTTGTTAGAGCCTGGTGTCGGACAAATGATCTGCCCTGTACATATTTGTGATAAAATCGGATCATATATACCTACTATTTTTCATTTTAAATCTGCCTTTAAATTATGCAGTAGGAAGAGAAACAAGCATTTTGCAACAATCATGGTCCACCATATCTAAACATCTATATATTCTACATGTACATGAGCACTGTCCTTTTTTCTGTTTAACCATATTATTATGGCTGTTATTCTAGGGATCAGAGGGTAAGGAGTTAACTGGAATGAATGGTCTCTGTGGCTCACATTCAGACTCTATGATCAGACCTGGTAGAGCAATATTTTCTGAACCTAACAGCAATCATACTGTTTTTCTACCTTTTTACACAAATGCTAGAAATTTTACATTGTAGTTACAGCACAGAAATAGGCCTTTGGGCCCAACTGGTCTACACTGGTGTTTATGCTCCACATCCTTCCAACTTGCACCATCTCACCCCAGCAACATAACCTTGAATTCTTTTCTGCAAATGTACTTACCTAGGTTCCCCTTGGTCACATTGGCCGCGCCTCCACATGGTTGTGAGTTTCACATGTCAATTTGCGACTGACAACAGCACTAACGTGTTAAAGTATCTTTCCAGTGTTGGACAGTAATGCGGTCCTGGCTTTGTAATTTATACCTGCTATTTTGAAAAACTGGAATAATTTTCAAGGCACTAGGAAAGATTATACAAGGAGACAGCACTTGACACAGAATGGTGGCACAGATGGCAGACGCACATTCAACTTTTCCCCCATTGGTCACTACCAACATGGCTATTAGTGGAGGTGACAGGTCCTCTAAGGCAGTGTTGCACAACATAAGGCCCCCTCCATGGGCCAAAAGATGTCTTTTTTTTTTCAATCTCCAACTCTTATTTTACTTGTTTAGGAAGGCTGGTCCACCAGTTACGGCCAGGAACCAAACAGCATACCTTCCCCCTGCTGTGATTTACTTTTCTCATTAAGTACAATATCAGAAGACCAGATAAAGAGACGCAAAGGCAAAACAGCAATGTGGCACATTTCAGGTGGATTAAATCTCCGCTACGAGAATACTATTTGAGGCATTTCAGCCATTTCCAGCAGTTTAGACAACATATCAGCCTTATTTTACCTAGAAGTGTAGATTCTGGCTTCAAGATCTAAGACATAAAAGAAATGCATCAGGAGGTGTGATTATTCAATTGGATTCTGTCAGAATTCTGTTTCTTGTTTGGTTTCAGGTATTTGGGGATTTTCTCAAGTGTCAGTAATAATAAGTCAATGATTGAAAGCTACTCTAGAATTTATGAAGTGCTGTGAGGCTGTTCTAATTCTCATTCTAATTTCGCTGCAGCTGTATGGAAACCTGCTCTCACTCCTTGCAATCATTATCCACGAGCAGCTCAGACTTGTGTGAGGAAAATGATACCTGTTCTTCTGCTGGGATTTTAAAGTTTTTTAATCGGAATCCTGATCCATACATTTTGCTTCCCCTGTCACAATCCCGCCCCCATCACGAATCAGTTAATGGTTCTCATCACTATTTGAATTTGCAGGATTCCTTATAAATGGAGTTTCAGGACTGAATTTACTGCACAGAAACAGGCCTCTGGGGTCAACTGGTCCATACTGGTGTCTATGCACCACACAAGCCTCTTCCACCACTCTTCATGTCACCCTATCAGCTTAGTCTTCTTTCACTAGCCTCTTGACTGATTAACTAATGTGTCCAGATTTAAGCTGGATGTGAAATTGTGTCCTTCATCAAAGCTTTCTAATCTGAGACTGGCCCTTCCTTGGAAATGAGTTGCAATGAAGGTCTTTATAAAGTTTAAAGTGTAATGAGTCAGAGATTACTTTTATGGGTGAATGCATCGTTCTTGACTGACGTAGCAGGTATGTTCTGGAAACGTCAGTGCTCTGATTATATACAAACTGGCGTGCTGTTGTGTTCACCTGAAATAATCCTACTCAGAATAGATGGTTTTCACTGCAATACAGTCAAACAAAATGCAAGAAAGATGATTAAAGCCACATTCAGGTACACTCGGAGGAATGTCCAAAACATCAGTTTCGGTGGTTTTTTAAAAACACAGTGCAGACCTGCCCATGGAATCCTTGGAGATTAAAACGCGATGGGTTTGAGCAATTAATTTGCTTAGACAAATGCACATTCAGATTTTGGTCTGGAAAATGCTGGAGAACATTAACCATAGAATTACAGAACCCCTCGCCCACTTCTCTTACACTGCTTGAGAAAGCTGTACTCAAGAGGACAGCAGTTCCCTCCTGTACATGGAGGAGCGCAATTCTAAACGGATGGCATCGGCAAACAAAGTAACAATAAGCAGGCAGTCTTAGACGAGATTTCAGGACTGTTTGCAATCTCAATTAAATTCAAGGCTGTCCATGATTCTGGTGGGTAACACTTCCACTTGGAGCTTCTTCAGAAGCTTTTCATGTTCATGAAGGTGATCCCATCCAATTCTCTCGGATGGGCAGAGCAAGAACAAAGTCCCAGGCGTGTTGGTTTTTTTTTATGTATTTCAGATGACACGCACCACACAATGTTTCCATGGGATGATCTAAATACCCTTTAGCATTTCTCCATTTAGCCTGCAAGGAAAAAGAAACATCTTAATGCATCAGTAACGAAAGGAGAGTTCTTGATCGCAATGTATTATCAGGCTCAATCTGCTAAGAATTTCCACGACCAATTAATCCACTGTTTAATGGACATAAAGAGTATTATGCCACTCCTATGAGCTGCTTCTTTGGTAGATGGCAAAATCCCATTTTCTCTAAGGCAATATAGAATAATAGAATGATAATGTGCCAGAAGAAGCCACTCAGACCAGTGTCACTGTGCTGGTTCATGCATAAAGCTGCTCAATTAATCTCCCTTCCTGCTCTTTTCCTAGAAGCCGGTGTATTTTTTTCATCAAAGTATTTATCTATTTCTCATTTGAAAGTTACCATTAAATTGACTTCTCAACTATAACCGCTCAATGCCTAAAAGAAAAGTCACGTTACAATCCCCAGGCAGAGTGCAGATAATTGGGTCATTTCCCCATCAATTATGCTTCTGTAATTAACCAGGATTGATTTTACACACATAATTCGCATGAACTGTCCTGCACTTGTGGCATCATAACTTCTGTCAGATATTGCTACAGCTTCAATCATAAGTTCCATTTGCTGCAATCCAGGGAGACTGGTTAAGGAGACTGTTTTCTCTGTGTTAAAAATCTGACGTTAAGTGCAGCCCCAACTCTTTGGATGAGAGAGAGATTTCAATTTTCACTTTGACTTTTTAAGAATCATAGAAACAGGTCCTTTGGCTGAGCATGTCTGTGACAATCAACATGCACCAAACTACACTAATCCCATTTACCTGCACTTGGTCCATTTCCTATTATGGCCTGGCATTTTATGTACTTTCTTAATAGAACAGCAAAGAATTTTTTGGCTCTTCAATTCAATCAATATCATAGATCGCTCATCAATAGGCTACTGGTTGCAACAATCAAGAATCATTTATTGGGTCATAAAGAATATTTTTCTTCACAGCTTCTGTGGTGCAGGGTAGTGTCCCTATCTCTGAGCCAGGAGACTTGGGTTCAAAGTCCACCCGCTCTAGAGGTATGTCATGACATCTCTGAAGATAGATTAGAAAATATCGATAGTCCCTCCACGATTGGTATCGGAAGGCGTTGTGAGAGTATATATGTCAGGTACCAATGGTGAAATGTGGTGAGGAGCAGTTGGAGTTGAATGTGTCCAACAGTTTTAGCAACTCTGAGTGACGGAGAACTGGAACTGTACCCAGCAAAGGTCAGGACTTTCAAAGGCTTGATATCGGTAGACGGGGAGACAGATTAGATTGACAGACATTCCTCAAGAGATCCTTAAAACTGTTTTTTCTACATATCCAATCAGATTCTGTGAGAGGCCTAAACCTACATTAAACAACTGAATGGATGAACACAGCAGGCCAGCTGTGTTCATCCAGCCCTGCACCTTGTTGTCTCGGATTCTCCAGCATCTGCAGTTCCTACTATCTCTTAAACAACTGAATGATCTGTTAATTAGAAACAAATAAAACTTTATTTAAACTCAAAGTTCAAACCTAATTGTTATATTTTGGGAAGTTATTGCAGTGTTAGTCTCAAAAATCAAAAACCATTTGAATATTAAATCACAGCATCACAGGAGGCCATTTAGCCCAATGTGCTTGTGTTGGCTATTTGAAAGCGCTATCTGATTGGTTCCCTTTCCTGCTTTCTTTTTCCTATAGCTATACATATCTTTCCCTTTCAAGTATCTATTCAAATCCCTTTTGAAAACTACTCATAAATCTGCTTCCACAATTCTTTTATAGAGTCCATTCAAGATTATACAACTCCACATGTTCTTGCTTGGTAAGGGGATCAAGGGTTACGTGGAAGAAGGCAGATGAATGAGGTTGAGACACAGATCATCCATGATCGAATGGCAGAGCAGACCTGATGGGCTGAATGGCTGAATTCTGCTCCTCTGTCTTATGGTCTTATGTTTCATCAATATCCTTTAGAGATGGGAATCTGCCATCCTCATCTGGACTGACCTACTTGTGACTTCAGGCCCACAGCAATGTATTTGACTCTGAAATAGCCTAGTAGTCACTCAGCTCAAGGGGCAATTAGAGATGGGCAACAAAGGCTGGCCTTGTTGGCAATGTCCTCATCTCTCGAAAGAATAAAAATAATATATCAAGATATTCATCACTAATGTAACACAGGGTGAATTTAACCTCTACTTATTCAAGAAACATTGTGCATTTATATGCCTGGATTTGACCAAAAGGGGCCTTTCACCCTCAGAGTCTCTGGTGGAGACACTTAAAACATCCCAGGCTGGAGGACCAGACCAAGAAGTAATGAAGCACGAAAGGAGTAGATTCAAACTCAACAGGTTCAGTTTAAACATGGCAGTAAAAGTTCACATTGTACACAAGTCAATCTTAGCACTGTGGGCAGAGGAAGTATACCATCACAACTCTCCCCACAGGTTGGTGTTGGGTTGAGCAAAAGCTTTTGGAAGTTTTATTCAAGCCACATGGCCTATTGAACTGAAATTCTGGAGGTTTGCTCACCCCTCGTGAGAATGTGAAGAGAGCCTTTGCTTAGAATCCTGTGGTGAGAGAAGCGTTGATGGTTTCAGTGTGAATACATGAAGTATGAGACATACTGGTCAGGCTGTACGTGACGTAGGCCACTGCAGATCCTAATGTTAGTCCCGACATGTAGGATACGGTCATGGTGTTACCTGTGAAGAAAGAAGCAAGAACAGCTCTCAAGCAGGACACGGAGGTCATTTAAAACTCTGCTGCCCTTATCCTAACTCACAGAAAACCCTGCTCACTGATTATCCAGTGATGCTGTTAACTACACTGGCTCCTGGTTCAGTAATGTTTTGATTTTTTAAAAATCTCAAAATCTCATTTTCAAAGCCCTTCGGGTCACAATCCTCTCTACCTCTGTAACCCTTTGAGTTCTATATATTTGTCCAAACTAGTCTCCTGCATGTGCCCAGTTTTAATTTCCCTACCAATGGCAACCAAAGTCTGTGCTCTGTAAATTCTGCAATTTGCCCTCTCAGCCTCTCTGTCTCTTCTTCTTCCGTTAAGACTTTTCCCCTTTGACCAAGCCTCTAGTAACTTGTTCACTTGTCTATGTTCTGGAACCTATTGTGCATTTTCCAGAGTGGCTTTCAAGCCACTACACCTCTACACAAAATCAAGAATACATGTCAATGTCTTATTGATCAAAGGCCTCCCCAATGCTGCTGTAAAATAGAGCTGGAAAGTGTTGGCTGGAACACTAATGTTCCTCTTTGTAACTGGAACCACTGTGTCACAATATGACGGAGAAACATTTCATTTTGTGATACTTCAGACTACACAGCTTTCTACCGTGCCTCCAGCATTATAGTGTCCATCATTCAGGTGTGATCCCCAAATATTTTACTATCAAGTATTTAAACAGGGAAGCAGCCGAGGCTCTGGAGTTTATAAAAAAAAATGACCTGTTATGTAAAAGACTGAGGGCGTGAATTCGTCTCTAGTCCCATTACTCCATGGATCACACCATAAAACAAAAACTATTTTTATCCAGTTACCAAGGTGCATTCCTTTCTATACCAGGTTTTAAAGAAAAAGAACCACCATCTAAGTTTCTTATGAACACAATTATGGATTTATTATCAAAACAAAAAAAAATTCAGTAATTGGTAAAGATACACAGTCAGTAAGATAAAATATAAATCCTTATCCTGTTAAATATCCCCTAAGCACACGCACAAAGATACACAAAAACATACACACTCTTCAGGAAAATAGAAGGAAAAATTGGATTTCTCTGCAAAGATTGGATTACTAAGAAAAATAAACACTTCGACCAAAAGGTTAGGATTTAGAACTAAAGGTTAAAGTGTAGAATGTTCCAGAGATGGTTTCCAAATGTTCCAGCATACGTGATCCAGTCACTAATTATCCACAGTCACTGGTAAAGTCTTAGAAATACATTTTGCTCAGGGACCTCAATCTTGAAATGTTCTTCCAATCATTCTGTTAAAAGAATAAACAGGTCTCATGCTGAACTAAGCTAGAGGACTTTATTTTCAGAAATTGGAGTGATCAGCTGGGCAACTTGTCCCTAGCAAGTATTCCTCCATCTCAGCTTGCTCTTAGCAGGCTTCCTTCCAACTCAGCTGGCTTTTAGCAGGTTGACCTCCAACTAAATCAGGTAAGAACAACTAATCTCTGTTCAAAACAGCTCCACAACAGGATCAACAGGAAAGCCAGTCATTATCAGTCATGTCATTTCTAGGAAGCTTGTTAAATAAAATCTACAATCATCGTTCAAAGACCTACTTTAAAGAAACCACTCCAGATATGTCCAAAATACTTGAAATTAATCCCTTTTTCCACATCCCCCAAAAATCCATGCAAGATTAAATATTGAGTATATTCATAACAGCTCACAGCTGAGGCATTCACCAGCAAAAGCTGAAATCACCAAGAAAATAACCAGCAATGCTAACTTAAAAACTCAAGTCTTATTTTGGGTTCTTTTAGGGTAGAAATCTCTCAAACTACTCTGTCAAGATCTTCAAATGAGTGTAGGTTTCGCATAAATTGTAACTAAGGCCATGCTTCCACTGTGTCAATTAGACTTGACAGGTGTTACTCATTCAGAGTGACATCCGTTGCTCATTCTATCATATTCATTTCATTCTATTTAAATACACATCATTTTCAGAAAAAACACCGCTTCAAATATTTACTTACAGGCTGTGTCGCCTGATGAATGTTAATCCTGACAGCTCACCAATCTTCGCAATCTGGAGTAAAGATTTTCAATGTGGACGCAATCTACCATCTGATGATTGCTAAGTGTCATCACTACCTTCCTTACTTTGGAAACTCTGCATAGTTATGGCCAATTGTAAGGAATAGGGGAAACCAAGCGGAGACTCGGGGACCGCTTTGCAGAACACCTACGCTCGGTTCGCAATAAACAACTGCACCTCCCAGTCGCGAACCATTTCAACTCCCCCTCCCATTCCTCAGACGACATGTCCATCCTGGGCCTTCTGCAGTGCCACAACGATGCCACCCGAAGGTTGCAGGAACAGCAACTCATATTCCGCTTGGGAACCCTGCAGCCCAATGGTATCAATGTGGATTTCACAAGTTTCAAAATCTCCCCTCCCCCTACCGCATCCTAAAACCAGCCCAGCTCGTCCCTGCCTCCCTAACCTGTTCTTCCTCTCACCTATCCCCTCCTCCCACCTCAAGCTGCACCTCCATCTCCTACCGACCAACCTCATCCCGCCCCCTTGACCTGTCCGTCCTCCCTGGACTGACCTATCCCCTTCCTAACTCCCTACCTACACTCACCTTTACTGGCTCCATCCCCGCCTCTTCGACCTGTTTGTTTCCTCTCCACCTATCCTCTCCTCTATCCCTCTTCTATCCGCCTCCCACTCTCTCCCTATTTATTTCAGAACCCCCTTCCCTCCCCCTTTTCTGATGAAGGGTCGAGGCCCAAAATGTCAGTCTCTCTGCTCCTATGATGCTGCTTGGCCTGCTGTGTTCATCCAGTCCTGCACCTTGTTGTCTCGGATTCTCCAGCATCTGCAGTTCCTACTATCTCTGTAAGGAATAGGTGATGCCTTTTGCCATGGGGGAAATTGCCAACATTGGGCACAAATTTGGCCTTTTGCAGTTCCTCCTGGAGACAATTTTCACTTGTTCTTTCATTCACTCATTCTGACTGAGATAGTAGTCTGAGCCCACTCTGGAAACCCACACGGGCTCGGATTGAGTTGCTGGTTCTCTGAACAAAGGCGCTTCCAAGGGATATGGCAACATAACTTGGCAAGAGCAGAGCTGGGATTCTCCAGAGGGAATTTTCATGTTGAGAACGTAGCCCTGAGGCCAGACAATATGAGCTTCCACTATCACTCAGATAGAAAGCTGCCCCTGGTAAGATTCTAGAGGGTTAGGGTTAGAGTTAAGGTTAAGATTAGGATTAGGTGAGCAGTTATTGTTAATTCTGCCACATGCGCTGGCCAAACATAGTCAAAAGGATTAAGTTTTAAGAGTGAACAGTGATGGGCTATTCAATTCAGGGGCAGAATTAGAGTCAATCCAGATCCTATCACCTCACACAAAGACACAATGTCAGCAGGGTGTGTATAAATTTGGCAGAACTTATGGCTGATGTTTAGCAGCTTGGTTGGCTCACCAAGCTGGTTCATTGTTCCGCAGACGTTTCATTATCCTGCTGGGTAACATCATCAGTGCAGCCTCCGATGAAACGCCGTTGTGTTTTCCCGCCTGTTATTTGAACTCTGGTGTCCATTGGGCTGGATTACCTCACTTCTGGTTTTCCTTCGTAATGGAGTGTATATGGGGTCTAGTTCTATGTGTTTATTGATGACTTTCTCAGCGGAGAACCAGGCTTCTAAGAATTCCCTACTTGTCTCTGCTTTGCTTGTCCCAGGATCCTGGTGTTGTCCCAATCGAACATCAACTGGCAACGAAAAGATATGACCAATACTCACTCATCTCCATCCACATGGCTAACGAGAACCACCAGTTTGCCTGGGACAACACCAGGATCCTGGGACAAGCAAAGCAGAGACAAGCACTGGAATTCCTAGAAGCCTGGTTCTCCACTAAGAAAGCCATCAACAAACACATAGAGCTCCACCCCATATACACTCCATTGCGAAGGAAAACCAGAAGTGAAGTAATCCAGCCCAGCGGGCTCCAGAGTTTAAATACCAGGCAGGAAAACACAATGGCGCTTCATCGGAGGCTGCACTGATGATGTTACCCAGCAGGGTAATGAAACATCTGCGGAACAACGAACCAGCTCAGCGAGCCAACCAGCCACAACATCCATGACTCGAGCTACAAATCTACTCCAAAACCTTAGGGGTAGAGCCTTGTATGCTGCCAACATGTCTCGGGTTAAATGTCAGTGAATTTCTGGCCATTGAAAATTATTCTGTTCCAGAAACAACATTTTAATTTGTGCCCTGGTGGAGACTCTGTGGCCCATTCATGCTGTGGGAACATTTCGCCCAAGATTGCACAGCTTCCAGTCATGTCTTTGGCTGTTTCAAACCTGCAGACCCTATTCGAATCCTCCAGCATGCTCCTTCCTGTCAGCAATATGAGAACAACAACTCTGGAGTGGAGAACTGGAACAGAGTCCATTGCTGATAACAACAGATTTAAGAAGTTGTTTTGTAGGAATAATAACTGAAATAACTCCACAGAGGCCAGTATTCCATCATCAACTCACCCTTTATTTACACAAGAACTTGACTTCAGTACAGCCTCATTCAGAGTCAGGTACCAGAGTATCATTATCTCGGACACTCCTATTTATATCTGTCAGCCAGGGCTCCTTAATTAGACCAGATTAACAGCCCCAGTCAAGGAATTTATATTCTAAAAGGGCCACCTGGCTGACTTCAGAGGGGGAGGGATGTAGTGATTGAAATGTTGTTTATGATCTGTCATTTGCCCGGAGAAAATTAACACATTCCTTCCACATACTGGGCCCAGTCCTCTACAAACAGGATCAAATGAATCAAGCTTCCCAAACAAAGGCATGACGTAAGAAATGCTTACCCCAACTCTAGGATGATTGTTGTGGACGAGTTTCTTCAGGATCATGCTTTACTCTCGTCCCCTCTGAAATAACCCTACAGAGGTTGGTATACCAAGTTACCCTTTACTTACACAG